GAAAAAAAACCGATAGTGACTATTTCTAAACCGCCAATTTTTCTTTTTTAAATTACTTTGTAATATGTCTATGTTTTTTAGTATGATATCATATAGAATATCTCAATAAAGAAAAATAATGCTCACCAAATCAATAGCTCTAGGAAACTGAACCCCATCAAGCATCTGGCGATCATGATGATCTTGTTGCTGATGATCATCTCTCACCGGAGCATAAGCCATCGGAGGGGGAGAAATGGTCAGCACCGGAGACGCCCGCACCGGATTATTCAAACCGTTACCGCCGCCGCCACGGCCACGCAAGATCATAAGCTGCTCCATCCCGGCAGCTTGCGTACGCCTTTTATGTTTCCAGATCACTCTCTCCCTGTAGAGAGCGAGGTGGCGATTCACCGCCGCTAGTTCCTTCTCGGCGAACTCGAGCTGCGATTCGAGGCCTCGGATAATGCCGTAGCAGCCATGCACCGGATCGCTCCTCCTGGCGTTGCCCTCGGCGAGTAAGGAATCCGCGGTGTCTTTCTTCTGGCCTGGCTTCACGGAGGCCATGATCTTCTGTACGTTGCTCGCACCGAAAAGCCGGTGAGCGTTTTGGAATTCCTTGAATCTGGTTGAGGGAAAATAAGGAGCGAATTCGCATTGCTGGTCGCAGTTTTTCCTTTGGAGCTTACAACAAGCGCAAGTTTGGTGTTCACTAGACAAAGCCATAACTATTTTTTACTGAGAGAATGTAAGGAGAAGTACTATGTAATGTGTGTGAATATAGGGATGATATTATGCGAAATATAGAGGAAATGAAATGAGGGTTTTTATAGAGAGGAGAGAGTAGGGTTCAAGTCCTTTGACAATAAGTTGGATAGCCTCAGGCAATTGTTTTTTTTTTTTTTTTTTTTTTTTTTTTTTAAATATATATACAATACGGAATTGCATTCGCGCGCTCCCGAGCCTAAACTACGCCGACTCACCCGTGACAAGGGACACTATAAAATAAAAGATAAAGGAGTTCCTCAAAAAAGAAAAAAGAGAAGAAAACAAATACTCTTTAAATGTATGAGTCTGAATTTTACTCTCTGCTCTTAATATGTTTTTAGTTAAATAATTACAAAAGAGTATTAATTAATAGTAAGGAGTAAAAATCATAAAGAAAAAAACAGATAAGAGAACACTGTTTTTCTTCTTATGATTATTCTAGTTACCAATTTCGAAATATAGTATCATATTCAAAGTTACATAAATGGTTAAGAATTCAATAGTGTTATGGTTGGAAATATTCTGGTATTGCCATTTACGTTAAGAATACACTAGTGTTATGGTTGGACTCAATTCATTCTATCCAAACCACCACCCCTCACCCCTTAAAAAAAAAAAAAAAAGATTATCCATTCCATAAGTGTCCTGGTTTTAACGACTCTTTCTTACTATATACATATGAGGAAGAAAATTTGTCTTTACTTCTTCATTCAATAAGTGTCCGGGTTCCTTTCCTATTATATTTGTCCTAGTTACAAATTAATTTCGAAATATGGTGTATCATTACACAGATGGGTTATAACAAATTCTATTTTGTTATGGTTAGAAACGTTCTGGTATTAATTGCCATTTATATTAGAGTTCGGGACACGATTAGTTTGCAGGGACTATTTTATTCCATTCGCCAGATAAAATATCGTGTGTCCATTCCATAAATGTCCTGTTTTTTAACCTTCCTTAAGCATAGTTTTTCGAAAATTCAAATTTACTGTAAAACAGAAGAAAGTTCCTCCAAAATACTGTCCCGGTTCGTTCCTTCAACATAATTTAATCTTACTGCATAGCAGCATATGAGGAATAAAATTCGTCTTAAGTTATTTACTATAAACGAAGATATATGCTCGCCAGATTTTCACTTTAAATAATTCCATTTAAATGTTTCCGATATTATACATATATTATATTAATATGAATAAATATATTTGCTTACAACTCAGAATATACTCGTATATATACAAACTTGCATAAATTCATAGTTGAATTAAAGTTTTATTTTAAACAAAATCACGTGGTTAAAGCTATATGTAGAATTTCAATTATGTTCTACTTTCACATGAAGCTTCACTAGAAATGAAGGAACAGTAGCTGAATATTTCTACTGTACATTAAAAAAAGTAACCCTTAAATGCCGAGATAGCACGATCAAAAGTCAAAACCTAGGCTGTGTTTAGAGTTGTTTTCGTTTTTATTTTCACGTTTTTTGAGAAAAAAATAAAAATAGGAGAGAAACGACGTTTGACACAATTAAAGACAAAAAATGGAAATGAAAACGATTTTTTGGTTTAGTGTAAAATGAGAGAAATGAAAAACGACTTTTAGTCGTTTTTTATTTTTTGTTTTCGTTTTCTCATCTCTCAAGTAGAGAGAGAGAGAAATTAATTGATTTTTATATTGAAAACAATCTCTTGAAAACACTACCAAATGCATTTTTAAAAATAATTTCTATATAAGATTAAAAACGTTTTCATTTCCATTTTCATACAAAAAATAAAACCATTTTAGAATGAATTTCAAACGTACCCCTAGTTGCGCATCTCCACCTTCTCCTAAAAAGAAACAAAGCGGAGAACTAGTGCCTATTAACCCTAACATTATCAGTTGCAAAAAATAAAAAAAATAAAAAAAAAGAAATATTGGCAGATTTGATCTAGTTGGAAAAATTAATGGCTTGGTAACCCATTTTGAGGTACCATTTTGAGTGAGATCCATTTTGTATTAGTGGTGGATCAATGTAGATTTGTGTCCTCCTCCATAAGGAGATCAAGATGATATATTCACATTCTCAAGATCATGCACGGGTAAATAAAAAATTTATTCCCAAAGTGTACCCATGAAGTTTGAAAAATTAAAGTAAAAAATCTTGTCCCATATGGAAAGACATGAATGTGATTGTCTCTTCTAAACCCTATAAAAGAAGAGAAGTCCAATCCATTCGAAAACATGCTAAAATAATAGCTCTCTCATATCTCTTAAGTTTTCTCTGTAAGTGTCTAGCTTATGTTATGTGTAATAAGGTTCCGGCAGCTTTTTAATTTGTTGAAGTACTTACATGGTGCACCGCATTGAGGAGACAAATTTGTTTTAACAGCATTCAAGAAAGACAATTACGGCAACACAATTATTTTGTAAATTTCTCTTTTCAATTTTGCTGCAAATTGTTTTTACAATGTTAAGTTACTGCTACAGAGTGAATGTTAATAAATATACAAAAGAAAAGCAAGAACAACTTTGAAAAAAAAATAATGTGAAACTCTGTTTATGTAATTGTGTAGAAAAAAATTTCTGAAATATTTATGCAAGTTCAACTGGGCAACCAAGTAGCAGCCTATTGGTTTCCTATCAAGATACCCTGTTCTCGACAACCAAGTTGCAGCCTATTTCTGAAATTTCTGAAAATTGCACTTTCTCGATCTCTTTCTCTCGCTCAGCTGCCAACACAACGATGAAAACTAATTTCCCGGGGAAATCGATCGATTGGCGACGAACAGCACCTCTCGTCGCGGAGAAGCAATTCTGCGGTCGTCTTCATGGCTCTGCTCTATAATGATAGATCTCCTCCACAGCCCATCTGATGGACGCTAGAATCTGATTGTGAGCAGATCTCCAAGACGGAGACGAGGGGAGATGCCGGAGCTGGGGTGACGACGACACGGTGCTACAGAGGAGAGGGCGAGAAAAGAAAATCGGCCGGAGTTAATCACTGATTAACCGGACATGCGCACGGTGGTAGGGAGGCGGATATCTCTTCTAGTGCGATAACTACTTTGGGACCGTGATTATCTCTACCGTCGCAACCATGGATTTGTGAAGAAGAGAGGAAAAGAAATGATACATGCAGAATAAAAGCTTTGCAGATTAGATTGAGAAGAGGAAGAGAGAGGAGAAAACAGTTCAGATGGCTATTTTAGAATTGATCATGTTTTTTATTTTTTACGTTTTTTTGAGAAAAAAAATAAAAATATTTTTAAAATGTTGTTTGGTATAATAAAAATAAAAATTTTTTTTTTTAATTTAATATAAAATGAGAGAGAAATGAAAAATAATTTTTAATCATTTTTTATTTTTTATTTTTGTTTTCTCATCTCTCGAGCAAAGAGAAAGAGATAGAGACATTAATGTATTTTTTTAGACTGAAAATAATCTCTTAATAAAATTACTAAACGCATTTTTAAAAATGATTTCTGTCTGAGATTGAAAATGTTTTCATTTTTATTTTCATACAAAAACAAAATCATTTTGAAACGAATTCTAAACGCACCCGATATTTCTAATTTTAAAAAATTATAATCAATTACAATTGTTTACTTGAACACAACTCTAAAATCTTGTATTAAAAAAAACAAAAAATTGTGATTAAATGTTAGAATTGTTGATGTTTAACCATCAACTCAATTAGGTTGAGTTTTAAAGGGAACTGCCACATTTTTGGGGCAAGGATTGACATATGCTGGATACTAAAAACATTTCAATGGTTGCCATGATGCCACAAAAATTTTGGTAGCATTATCAAGACTAATACCAGCATTTATATTTATATATACGAACACCACGATCAGAATTTCTCCCGAAACATCCAAATTTCTAGAAGCTGACGTTGCTCATGTCAGCGATCAAGGCTCTAGCATCGGCGACCAAATTAGTCGCGTCAGCTATGAAGTTATAGAGTCGGAATTCAAAATCGCCTCCTAACTAAACTCCCAAAGAGAATGATGGAGAGAGATCTCCCCGGGTGCGGAGGAACTCCCAACCGACAAGATCGTCATGATAGGTTGAGCACAACGGAGACGAAGAATCGCGGAGAAGCTTCGCGCGATTCTTCGTCTCGGTCACCGGAGAAGCGTGGCGGCGGCAGGAGAGAGAAGACGAAGAGTGAGAAGAGGAAAAAGGAAAAACAGGAAAATATCATAGCAAAGAAACCATAATTTATGTGGGGGTACTTAAGACTTATTACTCTAAATTTTATTATGCCATATGGAACAATTTTAGGGACCTTACTTAAGACTTGATTCGCCTGTTGGGCCTGGAGAGTATCGAGCCCAGCAGTATCATTAACACACCTTCTACAGAACAAAACGACGCCATTTTAGCATTCTCTTCAGGTAGAGAAGCTGAAACCAAAGCACCTTCCCGTCAATTAATCATCATCAACGAGAACTGCACTGCCCAAAAAACAAAAAGGATCCTTCTTCCAGCGTTGCCAAAACGCAGCGTTTCGACCTTCTCTATCATCACAATCACTTCTGCTTCACTCGCGAGCCCTAGTTCTTCTTCTTCTTCTTCTTCTTCCTTCCATGGCGGAGAAGCCCCAACCGTTTCGCGTACTTTACTGTGCGGTGTGCAGTTTGCCCGCCGAGTACTGCGAATTCGGACCCGATTTCGAGAAGTGCAAGCCATGGTTGATCCAGAACGCCCCCGACCTCTACCCCGATCTCGTTAAAGGTTCTTCCCAAGAAACCCTAATTTCACTCTCTCATTCACAATTCACTGTTGATTTTTTCGTTTGTTTGTTTGTTTTTGTTTTTGTTTTTTGTTTTTTTGTTTTCTTTTCCTTATTTTGTTTGAAGTTTTTGTTTTGAATTGAGTAGATTCAAACGCGAAAGAAGCTGATAAAGTCGCCGAGCAGTTGCAATCTACGGGAATTTTTTCGGGAGGTGGCGAGGGAGCTGCTTCTTCTGGTGAGTTTATTATTGTAGTAATGTATGTGGATTAAACTTCCAAATTGTTGAATGACCAGTGAGTTATTCTATTGAGTGATTACTGTATATGCAGTGGCGGAGCCATGAATTCCGTGGGGCATAAGTGTTTTCAAAGTTTTAAACTAAAACAATAGTACAATTATTCTTTTTTATTATTATTATTTTGTATTCCAAATGAATCAATTTTCTAATTAAGTTTAATTCACTTTTCAAGGTCTATATTACAAAAAGAACGAAAACAACAGAGAGAAATCTGTGAAATGAAGCATTCTGTATATTGCTTGCTTAGGAAACCGAGAGAAGAGGTCCTTATACACACTGGAAACGAGAGAAGCAGGAGTTTGTTGTAACAAACCCCCAGCTCAGCAAAGAAAGTAAAAATTAAAGAAAACATCAATCTACTTAGTCTTATTTACAAGCTAACATCTAATTAACCCTTTTTTACAATCTCAACCCCAAAACTCTTAATACTCCCCCTTGGAGAATGAATGTTCTGAATTCCCATCTTGTCCAGAAGAGAAGCAAATTGAGATGGAGAAAGTGGCTTCATCATTATATCTGCAACTTGATGTTGAGAAGCTACATGTAGAGTCTTTTAGCTTCCGTTTAGAATTTTCTCTCGAATAATGTAACAATCAATCTCTATATGCTTAGTTCTTTCATGAAAGACAGGATTGGCTGCTATATGGAGAGCAGTCTCGTTATCACAATACAAAACTGCAGGCCTTGAATGGTCGACTTCAAGGTCCTTGAGCAAGGAAAGCAACCACATAAGCTCACATGTTGCGTTGGACTTTGATTTGTACTCCGCCTCAGCTGTAGACCTAGCAACAGTATGTTGCTTCTTGGATTTCCAAGAAACCAGTGAGTTTCCAAGAAAAATACAGAATGCACTAATGGACCTTCTACTATCCGGACAAGAAGCCCAGTCTGAATCAGCAAAACCTCTCAAGTGAACTAAGGAAGTAGAAGGAAAAAAGATCCCTTGCCCAACGGTTGCCTTGACATATTGAAGTACCCGCTGCATAGCCTTCAAGTGAGGAACTCTTGGTTTGGCAAGAAATTGACTTAACTTGTTGACAGAGTATGACAAGTTTGGTCTGGTTATTGTGAGGTATAACAGCTTCCTAATAATTCTTCTGTATTGAGTTGGATCATCAAGCAATTCTCCCTCATCTTGGGAAAGTTTCACATTGGGATCCATAGGTGTCTTCCTCGTTTTACATCCGAGATACCCAGTATCTGAAAGAAGCTGCAAGGCATAATGTCTCTGGCTTAAGGAGATGCTTGTATTTGATCTAGCCACTTCTATCCCCAGAAAGTATTTCAATCCTCCCAAGTCCTTGAGCTTGAAGCAGCTGTCAAGAAAAGTCTTGAAATCCTCCACTAGTTTCTCATTGTTAGTGGCAATAACAATATCATCTACATAGACTAACAAGGCAATAAAAGAGGCTCCATTCCTCTTTATAAACAGAGAGTTGTCCGCAGCAGCTTGTTTGAAGCCTTGCTCAAGTAATGCACTTGAGAACTTGGAGAACCATTGGCGAGAGGCTTGTTTAAGCCTATAGAGAGACTTATGTAACCGGCAGACAGGGTTAGGTGGTAAAGGCTCCCCCTCACGGTGATAACCATGAGGTAAGGACACATAAACTTCCTCTTGGAGATCACCGTGAAGAAAGGCATTATTTACATCAAGTTGGGTGAGAGACCAACCATGGATGGCAGCGAGAGCAAGAAGGACCTTAATGGTCACCATTTAGCAACAGGGGCAAAGGTATCAAGGTAGTCAATACCTTCTTATTGTGTGTATCCTTTAGCGACGAGACGGGCTTTGTAACGCTCTAAAGTTCCATCAGCTCGGTACTTGAGTTTGTACACCCATTTACAGCCAATTGGATGTTTCCCAGGAGGAAGAGTGGTCACGGACCATGTGTCATTTTGCTCAAGAGCCTCAAGCTCGGCAGTCATTGCCTTTCTCCATTCCGGGACAGCAACAGCCTGTGACAAACTAGATGGTTTGAAGTGTGTGGAGACGGCATGGACAAAAGCTTTATGGTCATGGGATAACTTGTCATAGCTCAACACATGAGAGAGGGGGTGAGCTGTGGATGATGAAAGGTGAGAGACACTGGAACAATGATAGTCTCGAAGATAGGAAGGGGGTTTGACATGACGAGTTGGACGTGTGGAGGAGGAAGTAGTAGAATCAGGTAGATTACCTGATATAGGAGCGAAAGGCTCAGCATCATAGGCACAAGGCAACACTCGGTTAGAGAAAAAGTCTATGGAAGAATCTGAAACACTTTCTGTCTTGAAGGGAAATACTATTTCATGAAAGACAACATCTCTAGAAATGTGTGTGTGTGAAGAAAAACAAACTCTATGGCTCGAGGAGAGAACTTATTACGATGTCTAGGAAGTGTGGAACCATAACATAAAAAACCAAAAGCCTTTAGGTGGGAATATGATGGTTTCTTCTTCCAAAGGAGCTCAAAAGGAGTTTTATTTGACAAAAGAGGTGATGGAGTTCGATTAATGAGATAAATAGCTGTGAGTACACAGTCTCCCCAATAATCTAGAGGTATGTGTGATTGGAAGTGAAGGGCTCTAGCTACATTTAAGATGTGTTGATGTTTTCTTTCAACAACAGAATTTTGTTGGGGTGTGTCTGTGCAAGAGTGATAAGGGATGATCCCCTTTTTATAGAAAAACTCAAGAAATGACAATTCCTTGGCATTATCAGACCTAACCGATTTTATGGTCACATTAAACTGATTTTGAATCAAAGTGAAAAATTCTGAAAAAATAGTTTTGACATCTGATTTGGCACGAATCAAGTATACCCAGGTAAAATGTGTACAATCATCTACAATGGTTAACAAATAACGATAGCCTTCAGTAGTCATTGGTGTAAAAGGCCCCCATATGTCACAGTGTATTAATTCAAAAGGCAAAGCAGACAAAGAATTGGAAGAAACAACAGGTAGTCTACGTTGCTTATCCAAATGACATATTGAACAATGAGAAGGATCATTTGTAACATCAGTAATTTGCAATTCATTCCTCAATGTATGAATCTTTACATAACAGGGATGTCCCAACCTATAATGCCAAATTTCTCTTTCTGTTAAGATAACATTATTACAATATGTTGTAAACTTAGGGAAAATTGGTAAATGACTAGAGGAGACAGGAACTAAGCTTGTAAAGTCCAAGATGTAGTGGTTTCCTGCTACCAATTCCAATCATTCGGCCCTGAAAATGGTCCTAAAGTAAACAAGATGCAAAGTGGAAATTAACAGACAAGTGGTGACTCTGAGTGAGTGAGTTGATTGACAAGAGATTAAAATGAAACTGTGGCATGTAGAGAACATTGTGAAGAGTGAGATTATCTAACAAAGTAACAGACCCTATACGAGTGACTTCTACGGTGAGACCAGTGGGAAACGAAACAAAGGAGTTGGCTATAGGACTAGAGTTGTCAAAACATGATAAGGAGCAACAAACATGGTGTGTTGCTCCTGTGTCCAGAACCTAACATGTGGAAGGGAAATGAGCAGTAGACAAAACAGAGATAGTAGAGAGGGAAAAAAATACCACTGAAGCTTGACACTGATGGTTTGGGCTGTTGTTGATCCGAAGCAGAGCAGGCATTGGTCTGGAGTTGAGAGCTCAGAAGAGCAATGAGCTGTTGGCATTGGGAGGCAGTTAAGTCCCTGACTGAGGGCTCTGAGGTGCGCTCTTCAGGCAACATTGCTGCAACCTGGTTTGCTTGTGGCTTAGGCGGGGCTTGCTTGGGCTTTAGCTTGTAACCAGGGGGAAAACCATGGAGTTTGTAACACTTGTCCACCGTGTGACCTTGCAAGCTACAATGGGTACAGATTGGGCGGTCTCGCTTGGGCCTTGGGGAGAAATTGGACGCCGCAGCAGTGTGGGCTGTAGAAGATGAGTCTCCCATGGCCAGAGAGGTGGGAACAGGAATCCCATCGTTGATTGCCCGCTAACGCTCCTCTTGTACCACAAGAGCGAACACCTTGGTCAAAGGCGGTAAGGGGTCCATCAGGAGGATCTGAGCTCGAGTCTGGGTGAAGGACTTATTCAAACCCATAAAAAATTGCATCACGCACTCTTGCTGTTGATACTCCATCCAGCTTTTCATGCCTCCACAGCGACAAACAGGGATTGGTTGGTACAACTTCAGCTCCTCCCAGAGTATCTTCAGTCGGGTGAATACGTGCTCACATCAAGAGCACCTTGATGCAGAGCCACAAGGTGAGTCTTCATCTGGAAAATCCGCGGCCCATTACTCTGATGGAAGCGTTCATGAAGATCTGACCAGATATCAGTAGTAGTATCAATATAAAGGAGACTATCGACCATGTCTCGACTTACAACATTCAGGATCCAGGAAATCACCATGTTGTTGCAGCGTATCCACACGCCAGAGAGTAGATCGTCAGTTTCAGGCTGTGGTATGCTCCCGTCGACGAACCCGATCTTGTTCTTGGCGGTCAAAGCCATAATCATGGCTCGGCTCCAGGTGTTGTAATTGGATCCAGTGAGATGATTGGAAACCAAAACGATGCTTGGGTGATCTCCATTGTGCAGGAAATAGGGACTTGCTGAATCCCCCATGGCCGGTGGAGCTGAGGATCCAACAACCACACGATTGCCGGAGTTTCCGCCGGCCCTAGTCATTAGACGGGGAGAGGGAAAATTTCCAGAGATTGGCAGAGGATTATCGCTCTGATACCATATTACAAAAGAACGAAAACAACATAGAGAAATCTGTAAAATGAAGCATTATATATATTGCTTGCTTAGGAAACGGAGAGAAGAGATCCTTATACACACTGGAAACGAGAGAAGCAGGAGTTTGTTGTAACAAGCCTCCAGCTCAGCAAAGAAAGTAAAAATAAAGAAAATAGCAATCTACTTAGTCTTATTTACAAGCTAACATCTAATTAATCCTTATTTACAATCGCAACCCCAAAACTCTTAATAGGTCTACAATCCGCAAAGTGTGAACTTATATAGTACTGTCATTGATATTGATTTATTTAACAATTTAGGTTTGAAATATGAGATACTCAAAATCTAAACTTTAGGGTGTAGTTGAAATGTTTCTAAAAATTTCATAGATCTAAGGGGAAAACATGTAAAAAAAAAAAAAAAAATTGCATAGGGAAAAATTAACAGGCCCCACTTGGGCAGCCGGACTGCCCCCACTAAGCATAAGGTGGCTCCGCCACTGTGTATATGCTATGTAAATAATGAGTTTGTTTTTGTTTTGTGTCAATGCATGTCAATTCTTGGGCTTTATGATTTCGTGGTAACTCAGTAGTATTCTTAGGATCCTAGCCAACTTGGAAATTTGATATATATCTTCTCATCAGCCTCTTTTATGAGTTCACTTTCAATTTTCATTTTGTATAAAGCAAATATCCAGAATATACAAAAGTTTTGGATGTCATATGATGTTTGGCTAGGATTAAGAAGAGCCTAACTAATGTAGTAATGCCGCCGCCGAAAAGGATACAGAACATTTTTACTCGTAAATTCCTGATTGATGAATTTGACTTTATTGCATAATCCTGTGTGTATTTGAAATCTTACTGTGACTTTTTCTTGTGATTGAAGCGTTTGGTTTGGTCGCTGCGAAGAGTTGTTTTTAAAGTTTTTGTGTTTACAATGTTATTAGATCCTGTATCTTTCAAAAATGAAAACGTTTGCCTATCACTTGCAAACTTAAACTTTTAGTGACGTTTTTTTTTACTTTTTGGCGATACTTCAGCATCAAAGCCAGAGGAAGTCAAACGTCTTCCTGGTGGAAAGATAAAGAAAAAGGTAATTAAATACAATCCTGTACAAACGATATAAAAATGAAACCAGTGATATGGCTATGGCATTCAAGTTTTGCAAAAAGATTCATGTTGTTGAATAACTTCTTGGGTTGTTATCCAGGAGAAACCGGAAGTTGTTATTGAAAAGGTTACACGTAACAAGCGAAAATGCATTACTACTGTTAAAGGGCTGGACCTTTTTGGTGAGCAAAATGCTGCTTTGAATTTTGCGTTTCTTTTCTTTCCTTCCCCCCATGGTTACATTTCAGGTGTTAAGCTTAGTGATGCTTCAAAGAAGCTTGGGAAAAAGTTTGCTACAGGAGCCTCTGTTGTTAAGGTTTTAAAATTTCAGCAGCTTTTTTTAGTCTAATCTGCTTTTTGTTGTTAGTTGCTATGTTTTACAATGCTATTCCGAATAATTGGTTTCAGGGACCAACTGAAAAGGAACAAATTGATGTTCAAGGAGACATATTCTATGATATTGTGGAGTTCATTACAGATACCTGGCCAGATGTAAGACACTTGTATTATTACCTGCTCGCAACGTATTGTGTTGGTTATACAATTATACTTGTACTAACTTTCTCTCGTTTTATTTAGACAATAATATACCATTTAAATTGCAACTATTAGACTTCCTATACCTATTTTAAACTTCGGCCTGAAGTAGAGTTTCTATGCCCTAGAATCTGAGCTGGGGAGACGGACAATTGTAACTTCGTGGACCAAACATGTTGGATCTCACTGTTCGTATCAACATGCATTCTTTATTGTAAACATATATCCTTTTAACAAAAGTAGAAGTATGAAATACATGAAAGTGGCAAAACAATCTGATTTGGAGGCTAAGTCATCACGCGTAATTGGTTGTCGCATCCAAGTCTAAATTATCAGTTGAGAAGTTTCTTACTTGGTTCCCTGTCAGATTGTTTTGGTAGAGGATTTTTCTAGTTAATATTAGGATTGCTTAAGTTTTGCCATCATTTTACATTTATGCTATTAGGCCGTAGCACATCTTTTGTATACCGTAGTAGTTTGGTCTACTTTTTCACAGTTAAAAATAAGACGAATCTGGTTTACATTAGCTAAGCATTTCTCCTCTATGTTTTAAACAGGTTCCAGAAACTGCAATTTTCTTTATAGAAGATGGGAAAAAGGTCCCAGCTGCGTAACTTTGGAGTTGACAAGTTGTGGCAAGATAAACAGAGTGAATTTACTATCTTCCTCCTGTTGGCATGACCCAGTAACCAGATTCACGGATCTTTCGAAGTATAGAGCCGTCGGAGTTGGTAACCAAAAATGCCGAGGAGACTTTTTTTGTTTCTCTTTTCAATATTCTATACTTTTAATTTTTTTTTTTGGCGACTAATAATATTGTGGTTTTGCAGTTGAATATGGTGTTTTAATATAATGGATTTCCTATTGTAATCTGTACAGGGGCGATCTCTCTAGCATTTTTATAGTGTTTCCGGTTTATGTCCAACTAAGTAATCTAAAGGAAGGAAGATTTCCCCACTTCATGATTGATCGTTTTGCATTGGATTTTGTTTTGAGTTGACGAAGAGAAAGTAGTTAAATATGCTCATTTCTGTGGCTGATCAAGATGACGTCATTCTTTTTCTTTAATAGCACTCTTAAATGAATGCTTCAAGGCGTGTTGGCTCGCGTGGATTGCTGATTTGCACTTTGAATTAGTAGATAAGAACGCATAATTTAATGAAAGGTCGCACATTAGCAGTTTGCAACCAAACTAAGATTTTGTCGGCCAGAAAATCCTTTATTGGGAAATCCCCCAAACGACTGGTTTTTTGTGAATTCAGCAAACACAGCTCAAAAAATGTTTCTCTTGTTGAGAACTCCTAGGGAGTTAAATAAAGGAAGCAAACGGCGAATGCTTACAACATGTGTATATATATATATATATATATATATATATAG